ATAGCAAAGTGCAGTGATTTGTATTACAATGAAACAAGCTCGATGGTCGGAAGCGGCAGCAATACTATTTTTTGGTACAACAATTGGCAAGAGCAATGCCCCTTTATTTTCTTCTCATACTAGTCAAATCCTTGCCAATTATGGATGCATGGAGTCAACTCAACCATTGCTTCCTCAAAGGCCTCTTCATGAAAGGGAACAAATCACATGGAATATTATCTCATATTCACAGTCTCTTGGTTTCGATTGCATTGTTTGGACAGTCTCCAAAGATGTTTTCTTCAGTAGAATCTACGAAAGTTAAGTTAGCTGACCAAAGTAAATATTATTTCGTCTAATAATTATGCTAAGGCATGGTTTTCTTGGCTTCCCAAGAAATGCAAATTGTTTGTTTGGTGTATTCTGCACAGAGGAATAACTCTTTTAAGGACAAATTACAAGCCAGGTACCCCTCAATCTGTACAAATTTGGTGTATCTGCAAATGGAATAGGGGATCTCCAGACCATCTGTTTTTACCATCGTCCTTAGTTACAAGGAAAACGAGCTTCAGCGACTCCCGATGAAAAGTGAATCATAGCTAAGTGCGTCGTGTGACATCATTGTCAGTGGAAGCGCGCGACGAAAAGATGGGCGATGCTGGTAAATAAGGTTTTCGTCGTTCGGCTCAGCGACGAAATCACTTTTCATCGCAGTGACGAAAATGGTTTTCATCAACGATCGTTGGAATACTGACGATTTATTTTCGTCATTATTTATTTATTTTTTATTCGTAGGTTTTTCTCTTTTTAATGGTGAATTTCGTCTAAATGCAATCATGTTTTCATTTATATCGTCGCTAAATAAAAACCAAACTTCACTGTTATCTATTTAGTATCGCTATATTTCCTGCAATTCTAAAAAATACAATAAATGATAATATATATGATAAATCACATCGAACTTTAAAATTAAACTTAGTGTAAATACATAATATCCAACAAAAATATGTCATGTGACAAAATATAAGTATTTTTCAAATTGGTCTAAAGACAAGTTTACCGAATCTTCGAGCATAACACAACACGATCATTAGACATTATGTTTCAATCCTAGACAAATAATTTCATGTGATCAATTCTTTTTAGGTTAAAAATACATCCGAAATCAAAATGATAATATGAAATAACAAACTACATAAACACCTTCATGAAACCATACTTATGTTCAAGCTCCAACAAAACATAACAACATTTTATCAACTATATAACAAACTTCATATCCAATAAGTTTCAAGATCAACAATAAACCTAAGCCACTTTCATATGTTTCAAACTTTAATAATAAAACATCAAACATATTCAAAAGTTTAAACTCCAACAAAATTCGCATTCAAAAGCCCCCAACAATTATATAACAAACAATTCATATTCATAAGTTTCAAATTCTAACAATAAACATAAGTCACATTCATGTCTTTCAAACTTCAACAATAAAACATCAAATACATCTAAAAGTTTAAACTCCAACAAAATTCGCATTCAAAAGCTCCTCTCAACAACTGTATAACAAACTTCATATTCATAAGTTTCCCCTCACATTGCTTTTAAGGAAAGAGTGATCCAAGTAGGCCTAGAGTGGACAATAACAAACGCTCAAGAATTTTGTTCAAATTTAAAAACCTAAACTTTCTTTCCCTCCCTCTCCTCACCCTAATTTAATTTTTATAATTTCTCTAACAATTAAAGATCTGCTGGATTGAGAAAACCAACCCATTAAAACATTTTAATCGTACTTAATTATACATATTTATCTTATATTCTATAAAAAAAATGTCTATTTTTTAAAAATTAAAATATTTTTAAATAAAGAAACTAGTAATTCTTTTTAAAAAAATTAATTTCGGGGAAGGCGCCTCTGGCCCTTGGGTCCGACCTGGCCAAATATTGTTGTCATCCTAGACAACATATAAATTAGAATTAAATATAAAATATGTTTTAATTGCACTCTCTCAAAATCTTCTATAAAATTAGGATTTAAAATTGATATATATATATATATATTATTTTTATAGAGGAAGTTTTGCCATTTGTGAAGGGAGTATGTGCTAGATTTATAGCCTAAAAATTAATTATATTGTCGGCCAATCTCTTGCCTTGTTTATTTTCGTTTAATTGCGTGCTCTCCATATTTATTACTTAGAAATTGAATGCAATAAAATTAAGACATTTGTCGGCTTTTATATTTTTTTTCTAAAAGTTATTTTTTTTTTACTGTTTTCAGTATGAATTTTTGAAATTTGAGGGGTGTTACAGAAGTATAGGCTGTATCTTTTTATTATTGTTGGGACATTTATTTTCTTTAGCTAATTTTGCTAACATTTAATTTGCACAAATTCTTTTTAGAAGAATTTAATTTGAAGCTTGCTGACGATGTATTGAAGACTAAGCTATATATCTTCGCTGATCGGGGAGGTCGGAAATGAAATAATGTTTCTTATCTACCTTCGAGCAACTCTTTCAACTGCCGCCTAATCTCCCAACAAGTTGCTTAGTTTACCTGCTCTTCGACTTTCGGCTTTCGAGGACTGGGATGGGGCCTGAAGCTCAAAGGATTAGAGCACGTGGTTACGAACCACGGTGTCCGGGGTTCGAATCCCTTTGCCCCCGTCTTACTCGGGTTTTGAATTTCTTTAAAGTTAAATAAATAAATAAATAAAAAGAAATAATCCCTCTGGCCCCGTCTTACTCGGGTTTTGAATTTCTTTAAAGTTAAATAAATAAATAAATAAATAAAAAGAAATAAGATGTTAAAGTGCAATATTACCCATATCGATAATAGTATGCATTATTTATTACGACAACCTTCCATTAACATTCAAAAGTTCTTTCGCAATACATTACCTTAAACTAATTAACCAAAATTAACAGTGATTCTACTCAGAACTAAAAGGATTTCTTTAAATGCATGGATTAAAAGAATGATTCTCTATAAACATAATTAGTAAAATTAATTGCGAGCAATTAAAAAAAAGAGAGAAAAAACTTACCTACGGACTGTAATTTCATTTTACTCCACCAATAATGGAATAATATGTAAAAGTGGGGATTGAGACTGATTTAGACGGGGTTGCCCTCTTCGTCGAAACCGAGCTCGCGGAGGACCTCCTTACATTCGGGAAGCTTCTCCTTCTTCATGAAGCCAAGAGGGTTGGCATGGCGGACGGGATCGGTGATTCCGCTGTTGCCGGTGATGCTAATTCTGGCCTTGTGCCCNTTTTTTTTTTTTGACAATATGTTACTATGATTTTGATCTTAGATAAATATGACTTTGAGGTTTTTCGATAAATATGACTTTGAGGTTATTCTAGTACTACGTTTTTAAGTAGACTTTCTTTTATTTTTTGGTTTTTTTTTTAACGTCACTTGAGCTCTATATTGCATCAAAAATTGTAAATAGTGTATATTTAAGTTTAAAAGATTTGTATTTCGTGAATAACTCACGGGTAATTGGTACTAACTCCTTTCCTTGAGTTCGAACATTCAAATTCATATACTCTTTCTCTTTTTTTTAACTAAAAAACAAGTTTGTATTTCAACTTTATTTTATTTTGGTCTCATACAATTCAACGGTTTGTTAAAATTTTAAATATTTTATTTTAATCCTTAAAAAATTATTTTTGTTAATGTTTGTAACCTCTCATTAACAAGATGTCTTTTGTAAAACATCTCTGACAGAGACAAAACTAATTAAATGTTTTATGTAAAGTTAAAGTGAACATAACCAAAAGCATAGCTATATAGATATATATTTATGTTCATAATATACTTCTAAATAAAGATACATTATTATTCCTCAAGAATCTTGCAGAGGAAATTAAGTTTTGGGGTTTCTTTCCCAAGCAGATTGGTTTTAATTAAACTATTTTCTTTGGCAAAAAAAAAATTAAGGGGCAAATTATATATATTTCTACTGTTAATTAAAAAATAAGAATAAAATAAACTAAAAGCATAGTAGAAAACGATGATTTTGTTTTCTTATTTTTCTACGTATTTTGAAGGATTCAAAGATGAGATGACAAGGCGTGGCCGACTGGACAGAGAAACCATCACACCACCTCCTTTAAAAAATGGAAAAAAAAAAAAAAACCATTTTAAAGTCAACAAATCAAATCATATATTTTTCTATAATAAAATTAAAGAAAAAGGTCACGCGCATTTGAATTGAATCCTCATTTTTCCTCAAAAAAGAAAAAAAAAATCCTCATTTGTTATTTTTCAAACACCTATTGCTTTCTTGGAGTTTCATATGGTAATTTAATTTGATTCAATTATTGAATTAAATATCAAATTGGCATTCATATGCTACAACATTTTTCATCACATGCAATTCTTCCTTTTAGTTTTTTTTTTCAATGCTTATTTGGGATAGTTGAGTGTATGTACTAATTCATATCACTAATTTTATAAAGAAAAGAGAAACAGCAAAACTTGTGCTTATATTATTATTTTAATTGGACACCTAATTTTTTTTTTAATTTTGAATTAAAATATAAAATTACAAGCCCTACATGATGGGCCAATAAACTGAGACGCTTCGAATGATACACCAGGATCATTATGGGCCGTAAAGTTTCAATAAAAGCCCAAGATTTGCCTTTACGGTCCTTGACCGATAGGTAGGGACTTATTCCACAAAATTGAACTCCATAATATTTTTTTAAGGAAAATTAAATTCCATAATTTTAATTAAAATTTGATTTTTTTAATCATGTGTGTGGCCCGTGTGGGGATTAAATATTATTTTAGACTCTATATATTTAGTTTTTTTTATCCATTTTAATTATTGTAGGTTGAATTTATTTTTGTTTTTTATTTTTATTTTTTAGAGTTCTGTTTTTAGTATTTACCATTAGAACTAATTTGGTCCGTATTATGTAAATTCTTTTAATGATTGGAACTCTCGGAAGAGAGTCATTCATCAAAAGACATTAGCATTACATTTGTAGGAAGAAAAAGAAAAAAGGTAGAAAGACGATTTTATTTATTTATTTGATTTGATTGGAAATAATAAGAGAGGAATAATAATAATGGATAATAAGCGGAAGAAGTGGAGATTGATTTAGACGGGATTGCCCTCGTCGTCGAAACCGAGCTCACGGAGGACCTCCTTGCATTCGGGGAGCTTCTCCTTCTTCATGAAGCCGAGCGGGTTGGCATGGCGGACGGGGTCGATGATTCCGACGTTGCCGGTGATGCTGACTCTGGCCTTGTGTCCGTACCCCTCCTCCGACTTCTCGTTACAGTCCGGATCGGTGCTCTTCACCAACGCCACCTCGCACACCTCCTCCTCGTGGTCTCCGTCTGCCTCGATGCTGTATTTCCCCGTCTTGTCCGTCACCCCCTCCTTGCTCAGCGTGACGCTCCCCCCTTCCCTGTCTTTGCACTCCAATTTCACAGTAGCCCCTGCAGATTGAAATTGGAAATTTGAATCCCTAGGGCACCAATTAGGGCTCCGAAATTGGAATTAGAATTAGTGCTTTCTGTTACCTTCGAGGAATTTGCTGACTTTGGTGAAGAATTGGATGCGGCAAGTGTCGCAGTACACCTTTCCCTCCACGAAGAACTTGTCCTTCTCGCACGACACCGCGCTCAGGAGCGACACCAAGCACAGCGCCGAAACAAGGATCATTTCAGATTTCCCCATTCTTTTCCTTTTTTTCTGCTCTCTTCTGGTTAGCTCTTCTTCTGTTTCGTTTCTTTTATAACTCCCCTTTTGCTTGTTTATTTATGGGAGTTTGTTGAGTTGCACTTATTTTGAGGAGGACCATGGAGTTCCTTTTCAACCTCTCAACAAAAACTCTCTTTTTTAGACTCTCTTTGTTTCTAATTTCTAAATCACTCCTTTTGTTTTCTTTTTTTGGTTTGTTTCAAATGTGTACTAATCAAAATTATTAATTATTATATGTTGCGAACATATAAGGCTATAACGGTTGGGTACTATATGTTGTATATATATTTTCAGTTTATAAAGGAAGCTTTGCCATTTATGAAAGGAGGATGTGCTAGATTTATAGCCTAAAAATTAATTATTTTGTCGGCCAATCTTTGTTTATTTTTGTTTAATTACTTAGAAATTGAATGAAATAAATTGAAACATTTGTTGACTATTTCAATCTCCTTACATGATTGTTTGGCTTTTGTTTTTTGTTTTCTAAAAATCATGTTTTTTTTTTAACATATTTCACCATGTTTACAAACCTATTGTAATTTTTAGCCAATTTTAAAAAACAAAAATGAGTTTTCAAATTTTGAGGAGCATTACAGAAGTATAAGCTGTATCTCTTTTATTATTGTTGGGACGTTTATTTTCTTTTAGATAATTTTGCCTTGTGTAACATTTAATTTGCCCTTTTTGTTTGGAAGAATTTTGCTGACTTTTTAAGAGCAATTGAATTGAAATCAATTTCAGCAAATTCTTATTTTGAATTTCTTTAAAGTTAAATAAAAAAAAAAAAAAAAGAAGAAAGAAATAAGGTGTTAAAGTGCAATATTACCAATATGGGTAGTATAGTATTTCGGTATCATCAGCGCATTAACGACAACCTCTTATTGTCATTATTGGCAATTGATTTGAAATTGAAGAGTTCTAATGCCACATAAGCTGAAAAGTAATATCATGAAAAAAAAACTTTAATCTATCTTAATCCAAATTAGGTTTAGGTTTAGGTTTAGCTATGTTTCCTGCATTATTGTTAAGAAAAATATTTCTTAAGCTATAGAAAAAAAAAGGAGAAAAATTTTATGTTTAATAATGCAGCCTTTTTCATGTAGTATATATATGGATAAGACAAATGAATGAATGTTGAGAATATATGGAAGAAGATTAGGCTAGCCTAAGACAATGAAGATCGAATAAAAAGTTTCCAGAGGTTTGAGGCCATGATTTCGACCAAAAATGAACCACTTTGTGATGCTCGAGTTTTAAAGATAAAAGTTTATATTTTATTTAAGTTCGTAAACAAAATTTATATTTATTACTTTAATTTTAAATCTCTTTAATATTTATCAATATTTATTTGGGTTCTTCTATGAAAACTTTTGTCAATTATATTATGTACGAGGATATAGGTATAAAATAGAGACCTATACAATAATCATGATTCTTAGCCGATCGACTTATTCGCCTATGCTTTTGAGACTTTTGAGCGGGCACTGTAGTTGTGTTATTGTTAAACCCTTTCGGGATACATATACTTGGATCTTTGTTTGCATGTAGCTATACATGTAGAAGAAAGAAAACAGAAACAAATCTGATCAAATATACAGTAAAGTAAAGAAAAATTCTCTTAATACTAGTACCAGCAATTTCTTTTTCATTATTGTATAGAAAATTTGCGATTTCTCTTTTCTTTTTTCTTTCTTTTTTTAAAAATTAACCTATGATTTTTTTTTTCTTCTTCAAAAATAACATTAACGAAAAATTTTTCCTTTTATAAAACTCACGTAAAACTGTTGGAGGGATGACACAATTGCCACGAGGTAAAGATAAATTTGATAACTTTAGGTATATTTATTTATACTAATTCTATAGTTTCAAAATTTCAGGAAATTTTATCATTGCGCGTTATTATTTTGTTAGTTTCAATGTCGACATTAACAAACATCATAGCTGACTAAAAATTTTTTTAAAATTAAAATAGCCAAAAATAAAATAAAGCTAGTAAAGAAATTTGAATCCCCAAGCGAAGGTGGCAACAATTCGAAATTTTACGATGAAATTTGCCATCGACGATACCTCACGCTCGTTTTCAAACTTAGCTACCATGGAATCTCGGCGATAAAGACATTGGCAAAGCTGTCTATGTTCGAGTGAAGAGCTTCTAGATTAGGCTGCGTGGTGGCAATTCCAGCATCTGAGCTAACAGGTAGAAAAACTTCCGGTAATCCTCTGAGGATAATTATTCTGAAAAAATGGATGAAATAATTGTGTTAGAATTCATATGAAAAAAGTTACTTTTTGGCAGGATCTAATTATTAGTCAGAATACTTTACTATTATGGTATTTTTAATTACAATTCATAATTACCTCGATTGATCCATTACATTTGTTTGTAATTGTTGAATCTCTCCTCCTCGTTGATCTGGGATGGACATGAGAGTTACTAGATTATTTGTTGAATCTCTCCTCCTCATTGATCTGGGATGGACATGAGAGTTACTAGATTATTGTGTCGCAGAGGTGTACGGTGATTGAATATTTTTTTTGAATATTTTTTTTAGTACAATAAGTGGAGGTGAAGGATTCTAATTATACTTAGAGCATAAGGGCCAGACATCGATATTTAGTCCTTCGCAGCTTTGTTCTTGATCCAAGTTTATTACAATAGCCAAGCTAGTTATTACTTATCATCTACACATAAAATTCCAGTTTTCTAAGACCAAGCATGTTTAATAACGAAACGGGCAGTTGTAATAAACTTGAGCTTAACAAAATTTGGATTTATATAGTCTTTGTTTCAGTTGTAAAGGAAATAAGGCTTAGAAGCGTGAATTTTAATTTGTAGTCAATTCAAGCATGGTTTAAGTAGATAAAAGACGCTCATTAACTTTGGGATGTCCTATATAAGACGATCGTTTAGTGTCAACTACAATGGATGGAGATTTCCAAGAAGCACGACCTTTTTTGGAATATAATCTTCGATTGGCACAACCTCCATTGGAAAATAATCTACTTTTGATAATAGTTACTTCGTTTAACATTATAGAATTGCAAAAGTTCTATTATCATTGTGAACATGGTTGCTGGGAAGTGTTCTGATTTTAGTACTTTTTAGAGCTGTTGGATAGATACAATGAGCAATACAATCTCTCAAATTTAGAGGCCTCCATAAAAGCCAACTAGCTCCTAGGAACTACAACAATACAATCCTAGAAAATATAATAATGAAAAACCTCACAATACTCACGAGATTTGGTTGCCGACGATGCACTACAACCCGAGATCTCGAACTCTGTACCGCCAAAAACTGCCTTTGATTTTGTGCGCCAACACACTCTAGCTGCCACATTCACTTTTGTGCACCAACACCAAAAGGTTCAATTTCCACAGCTAAACCTAAAAGAGATTTATCAACCTATATATATATAATGATGGCAAGTTAATGGGCTTTGTCTATTTTGACCCATTGCTTGTTTTGACTCCAATTTATATCAACAAGAGCCAACGTGAGTAACTTATCCTTTTCATTGTTTTTTTTTTCCTTGTAAAGCAGCCAAACTTTCATTATCAAAGAGTAAAAAAAAAAAAAGAAGAGAGATTACTAGAGATTTGGAAGTAAAAGCAATAGAAACTCCGAATGTTAGCCAATTCAGGAACTTAAAAAAATATAATATTCATTAAAACCATAGTCTGAAATAATCCATAGAAACAAAATATTAACAATCATATAATATTATGATAACCCAAATGCTCCATTGGGTTATTTGGCCCATTTTACCATTGCTTTACTGTCACTCCTATTTTCTGGCTTAGTGGCTCCGTTGGTTTATGAATTCTCATTCAGAGCGAGAGTAGAAACAAGGATTTGAAGATCATATAACTGCAGCAGGAGCTTCACTTTCATGCACTGCATTATTTGCTATTCTGAAAGCTCACATTCAAAAGTCAACAAACTGGCTGGCGTATGTCAGAACTGCAAGCATTCATGTTTTGATTTTGAAGCATTTGGGTTATCCTATGTAGCAAGCTACATATTTGGACACCTTGCTTCCTTGGTGCGGTTATGGAGCAAAAAGGCTTTGGCCATCGGTGGAGAAGATGGATCATGGGTGCTTATCTTCAGTGAACTTTTCCATTCTTAGTAATGCTAGACCAAAGGGAAAAATCCTCTTTCCTCTTTCTTCTTTCTTCTTTCTTCTTTCACTTTAATAGGCAACTCATTTAGCCGTCTGGTCCATTTTTTCAGTCAACACAGAGACAGATAAAAGGTTTTGGGATTGGTAGACATGAGGTGGAGGTTTTTCTCTTGCAGTAAGCAAATGACACAATGATTTTCTGCCTGAATGAACCAGGTATGTTAGATAATTGGTAGATGATCCTGGACATTTTCCTTCAAGCTTCTGGGCTGTCCTTGAATTTGGGGAAAATGAATTCAGGTGGAAGAAGAGCTTCTGTAGACCATGGCTAGTAAGTTGGGTTGCAAGGTGGAAAGGCTTCCCATCTCCTATTTGGACATTCCGATGGAGGAAAACTACAATAAGAAATCTTTTTGGACCCATAAATTGATAGAAAAAAGATTGACAAGTGGAAGAATCTTTTCCTCTCAAAAAGTGGCCGGCTAATTTTAGCTCAATCGGTGATCACTAGCCTCCCTCTTTATTTCTTCTTGGTCCTAAAAACCCCAATGGGAGTAGTCAAAGAAATGGAGAAGTTGACAAGGAACTTCTTTTGGGATGGGGACCTCGAAAGGTGCATGCAACCATCTAGTGAATTGGAGGAAGATAACCCTCCCTTTGCAATTTGGATAATAACTCCTTTAGTTTTAGGCATTTCGAAAGAAACTAAAAAAAATTTCATGAAGGTTTAAAGTAGAAATTATCATACTATCATTAATTGAAATATGAAAAGCCTGTCGTTTGCCATGCATAGAATAGAAAGAAGTGAAAGAATTAGATCACGAAACGTTAAAAATAAAAAGAAAAAAACAATATATATGTATACTTTCATTACAAATAAAATTTAATGTAATC